GAAACGATCAACAAATCCGCTTCCATTTTCTTCAAAGTACAAAAACCATTTGCCAAAATCGGCAATAAATATACCAGGCTATTGATAACCAAATGATAGTCAAACACGCTAAACCTCGGAGCGCCGAAGCGGAGAAAATTACAAAAATAACTTTTAATGCATATGAAATCAAGTCAGTCAAGTGTTTTTCTGTGTACCTACTTACATACATATTAATAACTCATTTATATAGCAATATTTTCTGATCTTCTGAATGATTTATTCCCAATGTGAAAAGCAAAATTGTTTTTTATTTCATTGACTAAACAGTTCATTTCTGGAGGCAATATTATGTGTTAAGAGTATATATTTGCCCGATGACAACGTTAACCAAGATCATTTTGTATCCAACACACAGACTAACACTGTCTGAAAAAACTCCTTACTATATGGAAATCAAATTCTTTAATAAATTAGAAAACAGCATTACAAAAGTAAGGATTGAAAAATTGTTTAAGAATAAATTAAAACAGATGTTAATTGAGTTAGAGCCTTATAGTATTAAAGATTATTTAAATATGTAACAACAGTACCTTTTAGAGTAATATGTCCTTTGTCAATTTATTTTTTAACGTCACATCATTTTAAATTCTTTATACATGTGCATGTATCAATTTAATATAATTTGAAGAGTAAAGAAGTAAAAAATAAAAATAAAATAAACGTGTGAAACATTCATATAAAAAAACTAATTTAATAGTGACATCAAGTTGATATCAAAATTAGATTACATACATAGATATTATGACACGTTTGGGAAACCGCTATAACCAAATAATACTTGATTAATTTCTTTTAAATTCAGAGTGGTCCATTTTTATTCGTTCATGGTCTTATTATTTTAACAGCCTTTAACAGTATTTTTTTACAAAATACTAACTGCATCAGCATATCCGTTTTCGCTGAATATTTCAAACAGTTACAAGCATCGGTTTGAATTGCTGCGACTCCGTACTCAAGTAATTACAAATTTTAAATTTGTTTTCCAAATGCACTTGCACTCTTTT